GTGCTCCCCTGGAGCCACCTGAACCAGTCTCGGGGTGTTGACTCTGCAGGTCATTTGCATTGGGCTTGTGGTCTGAAATGCTTTCCCTGCCCTGTGTCCCTCCCCTCCTCCAGGCTGCTGCACTGCCTGGCCCTTCTCCCTGTGCCGGCAATGAAGCATCACTGTAATTTTCCCTTCACATCTCTCTCCCTCCTTCTATTCTAGGAGTCTCTTGGAGAAGGGACCAGCTCATAGGATCTTTTGTGGTTGCAGAACGTACACCAAACCTGATAACTAGTGACTTCTTTATGAAAGTGTGTTGCATAACTGAATTGATAAATGAGTGAATTAATGCACCCGCGATAGTTTATTAATGGGCTTGAGTTTTCTCTATCTCCCTGGAACATCTATTCAGCATTACGTGTCTTACGGGTTGAACCAAATGTTCTAAATTCAATCTATTGTACTGATTAAAAGAGCACACAGATAGCAGCTCCATGCTAAACCACATGTGTGAACGCTGTCAGCCATGAAGGGGGTGGGGTGATGACCTAAATAGTCAATTCTAAATCTCCTTAAGATGGCTTCGATAACAATATATGTCTTTTACATTGATGAAATTTTTAACTATTACCCCTCTTGCGCCAAGATCTGGATTGTGTGACGAGGACATAGATGGCGAATGCCTGCTTTCCTGGAACCTACTGTTGAGTAGAGGAGCCAACACTCTGTTAGTGAACACTAAATATCAGCACTGACCCAAAGCACCGGCCTAGGCTACTCCGCAATCACCTGAAGCCACGGTCCTTGATCTATCCTTCTCCATCAAATAATCCTTCTCATCAATTATATTTCCATAGATAAGCAGTAAACTACTGGAAATCAAAATTTTAAGAGAAAATACTTGACAACTGTTTCAAAAACTATGCTAGGGATAAATCTAAAAAATCTAACAAAATCTAGGGGCCCAATGCAGTAGCCTAGTGGCTGAAATCCTCTCCTTGCAGGCACCGGGATCCCATATGGGCTTCAGTTCGCTTCCCAACTGCTCTATTTCCCTTCCAGCTCTCTACTTATGGCCTGGGAAAACAGTCAAGGACAGCCCAAAGCCTTGGGACTCTGAAACTGCTCCTGGCTCCTGGTGGTGGATCGGTTCAGTTTCGGCAGTTAAGGCATCTTGGGCAGTAAACCTGTAGGTGGAAGATCTTTCACTCTGTCTCTCCTTCTCTCTGTAAATCTGACTTTCCACTAAAAATAAAATATTTATTAAAAAAAAAAAGAAATTGGCTAAGGATATAAACAGATACCTTAAAAAAATCTAGTAAAACCCATACACTGAAAACCGTATCACTGAGAAAAAAATTTAAAGGACCTAAGAAAATGAAACTATATTCTGTGTTCTGGATCAAGATTAGTACTGTTATGTCAACTCTCCCTAGTAGATTTAATAAACCCCTAATCAAAACCCCTGTAGATTTTTTATAGAAACAGACAAGCTGATTCTCAAATTTTATGTACAAGTGCAAAAGACAAAGAATAACAAAACTCTGAAGAAAAAAAACTAGAGAATTCGCACTACCACAAACTACCAAAGGTAGGTGATATCAATATGAACACAAAAAGCAAATGACCCATAATAAAATTCAGAAATGGACCAACCCACAAAATTATTTACAACAAAAATGGCAAAAATTGAAAAAAAATTTTCAATTGAAAAATGAAAATTATTTCCATAAGTGGTGTGGAATAATTAGACAAAAGTATGCAAAATAAATGAAACGAGACCCTTATCTCATAAACACACACACACACACTATTGGAATGCAAAACCTAAAACTTTAAAAATTCTAGGAGAAAGTATAGCAAAAAATATCTGTGACCTTAGATTAGGCAATGTTTTTAAAGATAGAACTCCAAATAAGCCATAATAGAAAAAAATTAAAATTATAGGGCCAGGTGCTGCAGTGTGGTGGGTAAAAGCCACTGCAGGCGGTGCCAGCATCAAGTCCCAGCTGTACCACATCTGATCCAGCTCCCTGAGAATGTGCCTGGGAAAGCAGCTGAAGATGGTCCAACTCCTTGGTCCTCTGTACCCACACTGGAGCCCAGAAGCTCCTGGCTTCCAGCCTCAGACTGGCCCGCTCCGGTCACGGTCTCTGCAGTCATCCAAGGAGTAAACCAGTGGATGCAAAGATCTGTCTCTTCTTTTTCCCTCTCTCTCTGTAACTATCTGGCTTTCAAATAAATAAACAAATAAATCCTTCCTAATAAGAAAAAAATAAAAATTTCTGCTCTTCTATGGGAAAAAAAGCATTGAACTTCCTTGTGAAAAACAAGACTATCCTGTGAGACAGCAACCCCACTACTGGGTATAAATTACAAGGGAAATGTGAGCAGTGTGTCAAACGGATGCTGTACTTCGTATTCACTGCAACTCCGTTTGTAATACCAGAAGGCGGAGTCAAACTGAGTCTACGTCAACAGATAAAGAAAAGACAGTCTCCATATACAATAGAACACTAGACTGAAAAAGAGAAGGAAATTCTGCCATTTGTGACAACATGTTTGAATATGAAGAACGGTGTAATAAGAGAAATAAGCCAGGCATAGAAAGACAAACAGTGTGCAATTTTTTAGACTTACATGTAAAATCTTCAAATACTAAACTCATGGAGGGAGTAATGTTGGAAAAGTGCTGATCAAAGGTTGCAAAATTTTAACTGGACAGAAGGAGTCCATTGCACAACGTAGAGACCATGTCAATCAAAATGTGTTACATGCCTGAAAATCACTAAAAGAACACATTTTAAATACTCTAACCACACGTTATGTGAAGCAAAACATATACTAATCAGCTACAGCTAGACATTGCACAAAGTGTACTTATATAAAAGCACCATGTTGTGCATGATAAACATACATCATTTTCCTTGTCAATGAAAATAATTTTTAAAAAAACTTTTTCTCTTCCAAAGACATTAAGAAAGTGAAAATGCAAACCACATATTTGGAGAAAATATTACAAACAAGAGATAAACTACAAACTAAAAGAAAAATATTTGACATACAGATGTATAAAACTCTAACCTCTTTAATGTACAAAGAGCCCTAAACACTGTTAATTTTTAAAATGCACAATTGAATTAAAAAATGAGCAAGGACACAGAGAAGTCCCCAGAAAATTCAAACGCCAATAATCATATGAAACCAACATTAACTTCACTGACAAAGAAATGTGAACTGAAGCAACATACCATCTTTTAAAAAATATTTCATACAGAAATGTCTATAATAATATCCCTCCCCCCCTGAAGTAGAAATTACTGAAAAGACCATCAGTAGAGGACTATTAAGTACATAACGGTACACAAATACAATTAAATGCTGTGGATCCATTACGGATTTAATACTGCTACCACCCATTCCAATATCAGAAGTAGTCTGTAGCATATGAACTATTTCATATGCTTCTTATGAAAACTTACTGGAACTTATTGGAAAGTACACATTTTAACCTATGTTTAAGTAAGTGCATAAACATATGTCTAGAAGACAGTTCACCAAAATGGTGGCAGTGGTTGCCCGTGGGAGGGATTTCAGGCAACTTTTACTTAATTTCAACATTGTAAAATGCTCCTAAATTCGTCTACAATGAGAAACATATCAGTACGTACAGAAAGCTTTTTCTGTTTTGGAAAATATAAAGAAAACACAATGTGTGTTTCAACAAAACAAAAACAAAAAGCGTCTAGGCACAATAGAGCAAACGGCCAGGCAGTCACCGCCCTTGCCTGGCAGCTACTCTCTCCTCTAACGCGCGGCAGGCACCACGAGGGCGCAGCGGGGCTGGGTGGTGCACAGAACACAGGCTGCTCCTAACACTAGCCCTGTGGATCCTCGGTTTCCTCCTTCATACAAGCAGGGGAAACACTGTCTCCACATTAAAGATCAGCTGCTTCTCTAATTTGTGACATTTGTTCACATTGTGCCACTGTGCTTTTCATGATCCTGGGTCACAAACCAGGGTGGAAAGAAGGAACCGCAGACTTTGAGAATGTCAGTCTATACTCTTGGACAATATGCCTTTTTTAAATAGATTTTTTTTTTCTATTGGAAAGGCAGATATACAGAGAAAAGGAGAGACAGAGAGAAAGATCCTCCATCTGCTGGTTCACTCCCAAATGGCCACAATGGCCAGAGCTGAGCCAATCTGAAGCCAGGAGCCAGAATCTTCTTTCAGGTCTCTCAAGCAGGTGCAGGGTCCCAGGGTCTTGGGACATTCTCCACTGCCCTCTCAGGCCATAGCAGGGAGCAGACAGGAAGCAGAGCAGCTGGGACACAAAGCATGTCCACATGGGATTCCGGGTGTGCAAGGCAAGGATTTAGCCACTAGGCTATCATGCCAGGCCCCGACAATATGCTTGTATACACCCCAGAGAAACCTTCCTGAAAGCCACAGGCAATGAGAATGGCAGCCAGCCAGAATGAGGAGGAGGAGGAGCAGGAAGAAGGATTTAAATAATCTCCTGGTGCTGCCTCCAGTGCCATTCAGCACCACTCACTCCTCTCCCCCCACCTTTCTGCAAGCAGTGTGGTAGGATTCCATGAGAACTGCTCATTGCCAAACCAGAAAGACCTGAGGGATCACTAAATACATCATCCTTCATTCTGTTGATGAAGGACCCAAGGACCAGAAGGGGACATCTGTAGGGAACCACAGCCATTCCTCTGCTTCCAACAGACGTGGAATATGGACATGGTGAGATGACAAGGCAGGGGAAAGAGCCCTGAGTTCTTCTCAAACCTCCCTGATGACACCTCCCTGGAAACCCTTAGGGAAAGAAGACCCCAGCAGAGAGAAGCAGCAGCAGGTCAAATGGAACGAGCAGACTCCATCTCTAGGCCATAGAGGCCACCAAGAGTCAGAGAAGCGGTAATGAGGGAAGACTGGAAGGCAATGGAGAAGGCCATTTGCCCAGGATGAAGTTCTAACCCTTGACCATGATTGGACTGGGGCTTACCTTGGGTAGGCTGACAGGAGTCCTGGGCTTGGTCCTTGGGTTCTTAATCAAGAGCCTTTGGTCCAGAGGGAGCAGATGGTATTTCATGGCCTCAATGAGGAAGTCCTTACAGGTGTTATTATTCTTTATCAAAGCTTCTTCCTCCACGGTCTGGAAGTAGCAATCCACAGGTGATCCTGCAGCAGGGCTGGGCCACATTTCCCAAACTCTCCCTGGTCTGAATCATACCTGCACTCCCACACTCATTCATTCCACATCACATCAATCTCAGGCACAAGAGAAAGATCCAGACTTGGTACTAACTGCCCACATTCCAAGAGCTCTGTGGAGTAAGTAGTCAAACTTTTGGAGCAGAAAGGGATTGAAATTCCAGCTAGTTCTACCACAAAACATCTCTGATTTTCAGCTTTCTTATCTGTTAAATGGGCATATTAAGGTTATCTACAACCTCACTAGTTTTGTTTGTTAAATATTTATCTACTTATTTGGATATCAGAATGAGACAAAAGGAGATAAAAAGATAGGGATATTCCATCTGCTGGTTCACTCCCCAAATGACCACAATGGCCAAGACTGGCATAGGCTACAACCAGGAGTCCTAGTGCTCCATCAGGGTCTCCCATGTGGCAAGACCATCTTCCGTTGCCTTCACAAGTCAGCAGGGAACCAGATTAGAACAAGCAGCCAGGCTTTGAACTGGTGATCTGATATGGGATGACATCATCACAACAGACAGCTTAATGAGCTGCGCCACAACACCGGTCCCTGTTTGATTTTGAGGATGAAGTGAGTTTATGCAAAACACAAAAAGACAAGTAGCTATCTCGAAAGCCTTATTCTCTCTCGTTTGAATGCTTTGTAACATTTAGAGCAAATGGCTAGAGACCTGAGAGGAGAGGGATGGAAAGAGGGAAGAAGTAGCATCCATTGGCTAACCTTTGGAGGCACTGAGTAAGAGACATATTTGTATCCATCTTCTCAGAGTCTGGGGCAGGGAGCTAGCCAGTGAGGCAGACTCTGATGAGGTGGGAAGAACAACCAGCACAAAGCCCTACCCACTGTCCTTACCTTGGGTCTTCCCCAGGCTCAGAGCTCAGGGCCTAAGAAAGTGCTCAGCAAACGGAAGTGTGACTGTTTCATGAACAATACTCAAGGTGAAGTCTTTCCAGATAATCAGATGACAGTTGTTCTCCTGAGGTCAGTTGGCCTTGGGAAAAGTGGATGCCGCTGAGCTAGATAGTCACTGCTGGCCCCCAAGAAGAAGACGAGAAATAAGATGAAGTGTTGGGCCCAGAGGAGTATGGGAGAAAGAGAAGGCCTCCCACCTCAGTCGTCTCAGCTCTGAAGCCACTCATGTGTAAGGCCCAGCTCAGCCTCCCTGGGTTCCCCTCTGTCTCAAAAGGAACAAAAATATGCTAGAGCTGGCAGGAAAAGGATTGGCAGGGCCAGGCTGCTTCCGCCTCTGGGTGACTCCTTTCCCAGGAACATTTTAGTTTCTTGGAAGACACTTGTAACCTCCCACTAGGGGACTGAAATAGGTTGGGACAGATTATCTACTCTGAGGGTCTTTACAAAATACAAAGGGTAGGAGTGGATCTGGACAAGTGCTCGGGAAGATGTACAATACACGCAGTTACCCACGCCGGAGAGCTGTCGGGCTTCCCAGACAGCACAGGGACAGAGCTGCGACAGAGCAATGACGCCTGAAGCCTGCTCGGGCTGGCTGCCCATCATAAGGAATGTAATGAGTCTAACTGAACCACCATACACTTAGAGATGCTTAAAATGACAGCGATTGTGGAATCTGCATCTTATCATGGGCATGCAATACATTTAAACATTCTATTTTTCAAAATATTTATTTGTTCTCATCTACTTGAGAAGCACAGCAACACAGAAAAGACAAATGAGACAGGCAGAAGAAAGATCTTTCACTGACTGGCTTATTTTGTACATGTGTGCAACAGCCAGGGCTGGGCCAGTCTGAGGTCAGGAGCCAGGAGCTCTCCCGTGGGTGGCAGCACCCAAGCACTTATGCCATTATCCGCTGCCTCCCAGGATGCTTGGTTAAAAAGCCCAATACACATTAGCTATTGTGAAAGGGGGAAAACTGCCCCAGAGGTCAGGCCGTGTGGGTTCCCCTCCCCCTACTGCTCCACCACTGTCAGCTCCCCCTCCCCCCAGCAAGTTACACTAGTTTGGAGTCTCAAGGTCAAATGAGAAGTCCTCTTCCAGAAGAATCCACCCTCTGAAGCCTGAGATAAGCCCTTTTATATGGAAGCGTTCCACACAGAAGTTCTCACACTCATTCCCCGTCACACTCCCTTCATTTCTATCCCTACTTCACCATAATAACCAGAACCCATTTCCTGATATGTTATGTTCCACTTGTGAACATCTGATGGAGATTATGACCAGGGATCTGAAGGTCACTTTAACATTTTTGGGAACCCAGACGCCAGGTCACCTCCCTGCCTCGGTGAAAGCAAGATTGTGCTGAAGGCCAGATTCCCACCACCACTTTCAGTTTTTCCTGTGGGGCAGTGGGCCGTTCGGCTCTGACTCCAGGAGCTCAGACTAGCTCCGTCCCTCCACTGAGGGCGCTCTTTTACAGGAAGGATCTGCTACCACCAGGGGGCAGTGGTACCACTGGATGAGAAATCTCACCGACTCCTTTACCTGATGGCAGCAGCTGCAAAGACAGCAAGAATCTCAGCCCTCCGTTCAATAAGCAGTGCTGCTGGCTTTATGTGAATCCAGACAATCCTGTTTTTACCTGATAAGAAAGCTGAGGTTTGAGTTTCCTATGTGCTGGTGTCCATGTGCCGTATTTTGTTTTGTTTGTCTGTTCCATGGGTTATCCTCTGTCTGCATGTGAGCACGTCTAATACCGTTGATTGCACTGAGTCATGGGATGTGAACGAGCACAGAGAAGTGGTTGCCCATCTCACAGAAATGTGTGATTCAGAGCCACGCTGACCTGCATCTGACACACAACTCTCCCTCCTATCAGCTGGTGACACCAGATGAATCCCAACCTCCAAAAGTCCTCCATGACCCTGTAAAGACACTCTCTAATTCCCAATTTTTCTTTCCTTCCTTGGAGGAAGTAGAAGCAGTACAGATCCTGGAAACCTGAGAGCAGGTGGTTTTTAAGGTCCTGAATTGGGATTCAAGTTGCTTAAAACTAGAAAAGATAACACAGAAATATAAAAATGATTGTCATTGCTTTGGTTCTCTACAATAAAAGCAATTAGAGCTTTTGTTGAATATGTGTCATGCCAGACATCATGCTGACTTGTCTACATATAACTTCTTTACGGCCCAAAACAACTCTGCTGTACTCTTTTATAATACCTGTTGCTTGCACAATGAAATGGGCCCAAATAGGTTAAATAAAAGCTCACATTTGTGGCCCAGCTGCTTTACTTTGAATCCAGCTCCCTACTTATGGCCTGGGAAAGCATCAGAGGATGTCTTAGGTTCTTGGGCCCATGCATCCATATGGAAGACTCAGAAGAATTTCTTGGCTCATGGCTTAAGACTGGCTTAGCTCCAGCTGTTGTAGCCATTTTTGCCATTTGGATAGTGAACCAGTAGATGGAAGGCCTCTCTCTGTGTCTCTCTTTCTGTGTAAAATATGACATTCACATAAACATAAAATATATCTTTGAAAAAAAAAAACCCTCAAAACCACTCAGTCAGAGCAGGGCTTGAGGCCTAAGTATCTTATTGTCAAATCTAGGCTCTTAAAACCTTCCTGTGCCACATCCCATACTTTATCCAGTGAGCTGGTACCTTTAACCCATACAGAAAACCCACCCAAATCCTCAGGGGGTGAGAGGCATTTGGCACAGTAGTTCAGATGTCCACATTTCATACTGGAATACCTGGGTTCAAGTTCCAGCTCCAATCTCAACTCCAGTTTCCCACCAATACATACCCTAGGGGACGGTGGGGATGGTTTAAGCAATTGGGGTCCTGCTACCCACAGGGGAGATTCACATTGAGTTCCAGGACCAGAACTCATGGTCTCTCAATATCTCTCTACAGAAAAAGATATAAATATAGATCACATCACAAAAATCTTAAAAAATTAACCCTCAATCACTTCATAAAACCAGGGTTGCCCTCTGCTATTCCTAGAGGCCTGAGTCAATGGGAAAGCACCCACCTGGACCAGATAATCCCTCGGTAAGAGAGGCAGTCGTACATGCTCCATCAGCTTGGCCATGTGCTCTAAACGAGTCTCTTTTTCATAATTGATCCACGAAATCACAGCCTCAAACACCTGTGAAGAAAAACAACACAGGTAACTTCACAGAGACAAAAGTTTTCAAACAACCTGTATCTATAAAAGGAAAAAACCTTTACAAAGGAAAAAACCTCTCACAGATACAACCTCAATCTGTAAAAGGAAAAAAAAAACCATGATCCAAAAAGGCATTTAACCTAAGATTCAATAGTTAAAATGAAACAAAAGCAGAAACCTGGATTTATTAGCTGGTCTTGGAAGCTGCCTGCCTTTCTCTCTCTCTCTCTCTCTCTCTCTCTCTCTCACGCACAAACATACACATTGAAATAAATGTGTGTTATCCCCAATGTACAGCCATGGTTGGTTCTAAAATAAAGATCAGACCCAATAGTTATTTACGAGTAGAATGCAGAGCAATAACTGAACCAAATTTGCAAGGACTGCTCGAGAAGATCAGAAGCCCTGGGGACAATGTCATTCTCTCCTCCAACCCCTTTTCCTCATCTGTCCCCAAGACAGTTAACGCCGAATAAAAACAGCAAGAACGTTCTCTGCCCAAAACTGGCTCTGACGGCGAATGTAAGACTGAATAACAAAGAAGTGCAAAAATCTCTCCTTGGATTTAACCTCTCTTTTAAAGAGAGACTTCACTTCTATGTAAAATAAAAACTGGAGGGCTTAGAACTCAAAGGAGGAGCTATGGTTTGGATGTCAGCCTAGCTCAAGGATAAGTCTAAGTTCAAACTCTGCCACAGTATAATACAGATTATGTCCGTGAGGCTGTGAGGCAATGTTCGTGGCAACTTAATCAGTATACCTTCTTAAGAGGGGAGAAAGTGCTGTTTGGTAATATCAATAAAAATTTGACTGTGCATACTCTAGAAACACCACTTCTGGAGCTAGAGTCGAACAAGAACACTGACTGGGGCATGCAGCAATATGTGCTCTGAGATGTTTGCTGTTGGCACTGCTGCTAAGGCACAAAGCCAAGGGGATGAAACCCACTAGTGGAGAAGTCACGAAGACAGCATATTTTCACTTTGAAAAGATATTTCCAGTTTAAAAAGAGTAAAACAAAAGTTTGTTGTACCAAAAAGCATCAAAGTACTCACAGATTAAGGAGGATATGTCAAAAAGACACACAGTCAACTGGATGGGGCCTTCACGGCCCATTCATAGGTACTTCAAAAAGTCCAGAAAATAACAAGATTATGAATATGAATTTATTTTGGTGCAAAAACTTTTAATAATACACAGAAATGCAGAATATGAAAAAACTATACATGGATTTCAAAATTGTTTTCACACAAAAATAAACTCATACTTTAGTTCCATCTTCTCACAAGCGTTTTGAGTGTTCTCATATTGAGACAATCCACATTCTGGGAATGACTAGCAATGGTCCAAAGGAAACTTCTTGTTTGAAATAGACATGTTCTTGATAGGGTTAGCACGACATATGACGTACACATCTGTCAACATCAACTAACGCTTAATATCTGTACTTTCTACTACATGTAAACCAGATATCAATATAAAGTATTCTTTATTTTTTTTTAAAGATTTATTTTTATTGAAAAGTCAGATGTACAGATGGGAGGAGAGACAGAGAGGAAGATCTTCTGTCTGATGATTCATTCCCCAAGTGAATGCAACAGCCAGAGCTGTGCTGATCTAAAGTCAGGAGCCCAAATCCACTTCCAGGTGTCCCACATGGGTACAAGGTCTCAAGGCTTTGGGCCGTCCTTGACTGCTTTCCCAGGCCACAGCAGGGAGCTGGATGGGAAGTGGGGCTGCCGGGATTAGAACCAATGCCTATGTGGGATCCTAGTGCATACACGGCGAGGACATTAGCTGCTATGCTACCTCACCGGGCCCAAGAATTCTTAGTTGTTTTTTTTTTTAAAGGTAGAAATGCATGATAATAAAAGTAAAAAGAAAATCCATGGGTCGACAGAAAGACTCTAAACATTGCATGAAGGGATCTGCTTTATTTAAAAAAAAAATTCAGCTAGTTAATAGATGGTAGGCAGAATAAGTTGCCAACAGAGGTGTCCATATCACAATATCCCAAATCAGAATGCATGTAATTGAGTCCCCCACCTCTGCTTCGGAACAAGATTCCTGCTAATATGCCTTGGAGGAAGCAGATAATGGATGAAGTACTTTGGTTCCTGCTGTCTGCTTTGGGAGATCCCAATAGAGTTCCTGGTTCCTGGCTTCAGCTTGGTCCAACCGTGACTGTTAACAGGCTTTTAGGGACAGAACCTTTCTCTCTGTCTCTCCCTTTCTCTGTTTCTGTCACTTTGCCTTATAAATAATTCAGTAAATAAAAAATCTTTTGGGACCTGGCCTGGAAGCCTAGTGGTTAAAGTCCTCGCCTTGCATGTACAGGGATCCCATATCAGTGCCAGTTCATATCCCAGCTGCTCCATTTCCCCTTCCAGCTCCCTGCTTGTGGCCTAAAAAAGCAGTCAATGTTGGCCCAAAGCTTTGGGACTCTGCATTCGCATGGGAGACCTGGAAGCAGCTCCTGGCTTCAGATTGGCTCAGCTCTGGCCATTGCGTCCATCTGGGGATTGAACGAGCAATGGAAGATCTTTGTCTCTGTATATCTTTGCCTTCTCTCTGTATATTTGACTTTCCAATAAAAAAAATATTTTTAAAAAATCTTTTTAAACAACTAAAAATAAAATAAATGTAGAAAGAATGACAGAATTTTAAAAGCATCAATTTACAATTACAAATGCAATAAGTTATTCAGCAAGAATCACCAATGGAGACTACAACTAAAAGTAGCTGGGGAAGAAAACATCACAGTTCTCAAGGCACCATCCCAGAGCTTCCAGGTAATCTACACAGATGGCTCCTTACACAAGGGGTCAAACCTGAAACCACCAATAACAGAACAAGCTTACACCACATTCCTGACAGTGATGCAATGGGAATGACACAGCATTTCCCACTTACAGGATCATTCCTAGATTATTTCCAGTGAGGAAATAATAAGGCAACTCTGTGTTAGGGACACTCTATGAGAGTTGGCCTGGATTCTTTGAATCTGCTAGCATTATGAAAGATTAAAAGGAAAAAAGAATCAGAGAGATAGTTCAACAGTTCTGGATTAAGGAGATTCACAGACAGGACAACAAAGTGCAACGCTTGAATCACTTGGTTACGGCTTAGAAAGAAGCCATTATAAAGGATTTGGGGGAACTATTGGGAAAACCTGAGTCCTCAATATGTATAAGACAGTACTGCCATATCTGTACATTATTTTTGCATGATGATGGCTTTATGGCTAGAAAAGAATTTCTTAGTATATGTGCTGCCAAAGCGAGCACAGGAAAGAATTTCTTGTTCTTAGGAGGCATATACTAAAATACTTAAGGACAAAATGTCTACAATTTACTGTTCAATGGTACAGCAAAATGAAAGATTAAATCTCTAAGGATGGGGGAGGTGTTTGACAGAGCAGTTACCGTACCAAGAGGGAGTCAGTGCTGCGGCACGAAGGGTAAGGCTGTCACCTGTGATGTCAGCATCTTGTATGGAAGTGATTCAAGTACCTGCTGCTTCACTTCTGACGCAGCTTCCTGAATATGTGCCTAGGAAAGCAGCACTTCTGTGTGGGAGCCCGGAAGTAATACCTGTTCTGGCTTTAAACCGGCCCAACTCTGGCTGTTGTGACCATTTGGGGAAGGTACTAGTGAACGGGAAATCTCTCTCTCTCTCCCACCTCCTCTAACTTTGCCTTTCAAATAAATTCATAAATCTTAAAACAACAAAAAAAGATATGCCCCTCACTCTCACAGCATTATTTTGCCCTCAAGGTCCATGAGAATTGGGGCCTTGTCTTACTTGCTGGCACATCTGAGATACTCAAATACTTTCTAAATGAATGGACAAATGAGTTCAGAAGCCTGTAAGGAGTTGGATGGAACCTGCCCAGGCTGGTGAAGAGAGGGCTGGAATCTTGGCAAGCAAGGCAGTCAAAGGCCGATACAGATGTCTGGCTTTGCTGGCTTAGGTGGTAGGCAGGCACAGCCCCATTGTGTCTTGCATGTGGTAATCCACACTTCTGCCTACTTGCATTTGCTAGCTTGTGAGTTTTCACAGTGAGACACATATCTGCTCTGTCTCTGCACCTCCTTCCTCCCATGCTGCCTAGCACAACGCAAAGTGGTTCACTGAGCAAAGCGTTGCTGAAGAATGAATTCTAAATCCTTCAATAGGTAGAATTGCTCATTCATGTTCTTTCCCATCAACCAGCTCTATCTTCGCTATAAAAGCTAAGAAGCAGGCTGAGTTTACCCAAAGTCGATATTTAACCTTATCTTTATTTTTGGCTTGACTTGTCTAACTGGTTCCGCTTAGTTGCACTGTTTACCGACTCAGCTGTGAAAGCCATAGCACAGCAACAACAGTGACCTTCTCAGCAGGGAGAAGGCTGTGTATTTTATTTTATTTAGACTTCATGCTTGAAAAATAAGCAAATAAACGTCCAACTGGATTTAGCCTCTATTGCACCTAAAATCCCTCCCAACAGCCCCTTCCATCAAGCAACTCTTCATAAACATCATCTCCCTAAATTATCTTGACAACACAATGAGTCGACACTGTGATCCCTTTTATTAAGTGCCCTGCCCAAGTCTCAGAGCTAATAAGAAGCAAAGCTGACTTCTGAGCATCTAACTCCAATGCTCATGCTCTGACTCCATCTTCTTGGCTGTCTCTTGCATGTCTACTGGCGGGGGTAGCAAACTACAGTGCACAGGCCAAATCCAGCCGGATGCCTGCTTTTGTTTATGTGTTCCCTGTAGCAGCTTCCATGCTACCATAGGAGAACTAGGAAAATAACACTCAAAGTCTACATTATCTCCTGTCTGGACCTTTGTACAAAAAATTTGTCAACTCTGCTCTGTAAATATGTAAACAAGGACCCCAGTGCTTTAACCCTGTGGCAAGTGATACAGAATGAAATCATCAGCTGCCGCAGGGCATACTTGGAGTTTCAGTTTTAAACAAAGAAGCAG